ATTGTAAATTGTTTTTTATTGTTATTGTAAATTGGTCTGGCCGTGAACAAATAAATGAATGAATAAATAAACTAATTAATTCACTCAGCTTATGAGGGTAATTAATTATAGTATAGGTAATGTCTGCCTAGCGACTCTGTGTCTACGGGGCATCGGTGAGGGGAATGCAGTTGTAAAAAAAATGGCTAATTTAATTCATAAAATACCCAGCTGCGTGCGGAACTTTTTGGAAGTGTTATCGTATGGCAACTTGTACACGAAAATCAATAATGACCAAACCTCCGCCACTGGATATTTCAATATAAATCGATATTCCAAGATGGAAGGATAAAATGACGTAAGCCCTGGCCAATAGGGAGACGTAAGGAGACGTTAGCTCAGTGACAACCGTATGGTTCCCCATGGCAACGGCGATCTTGCCAAAAACTCCACCAATCAGGTTCATCCAGGCCGGATGCTTGCCAAATAGTCAAAAGCTGATGGTATCTTTAGAAAATGCTTATTTTTTACAATAGACCAAATTGAAGAAATCTGGATTAAAATAAGAATAGATCTAACAACCACGTTAAAATATTTAGCGTTTTATTATTGTTATCAATATTTTATTATTAAAAACTGGATTTTCAAATGAACTATACTTCCTTCCATGCCTAATATTTTCGCTTTTTTATAATTAAACGTGGCAACATGGCAAATTTGAGATGACCTGGGGTGCGTTCAAGGACGGCAATGCTAATGCCAAAACCTACTTTTCCCCCTCCGCCGGTAATGCCGATCCACGTAGGTTGGAGCCGAACTTGAACGCAAAATGCCAATTTTGGCTTGGCTGTAGCCATTCCTGAACGCAGCCCAGAACTTGAAAATAGGTGAACAAAATTGTGGAACTTACTAGAATGGGCACTTCCCAAATTTCACTGATAAATTGACCGGTTTAATAAACCGGTAGCTGCCAAAAATTCCGGTAAAAGTCCGGTTACATGATTTTTCTGATGCATTTTGGAACGCTTTCGTGTGTTAAAGTTTGGTTGTGACGGTTGTGTTGCAACAATTTAACGAACGACTGCCGATAGCGCCCATTCTAATGGCCCATTCAAAGCAATTGATGTCAGTCAAAAAAAAAAATATGTCAAAAAATCTCCAACCGAAAAAACCGACAAAAATTCCCGGTGGATCCGGTTTCAGACAGCTGATTATTCCGGTCACTTTTGGAACGGACGATTTGATTCAACCGGTAAAAACTCGGTACATTTTGGAACGGTTTGGTGAGTAAACTATTAAACCGGTATCGCACCGGTTCAGAAACCGGCGAATTTTGGAAAGTGCCCAATATGATAGTATTGGAAAAATTCAATTTGGCCTTTGGCAGAACAAGGGATGTGACGGAACTAGCTATTGCCCCTTTTTGCGCTGTAGTTAAACCGCACCAGGGGTGCCAAAAGTTTTTACTTTGACTGACTGTAAAAATTAACCATTAGGTGTTGGATCATTTATACCAATAAAACGCTGAAAAAGAATAGTTATCAATTTAATTAATAAATGAAAGTAATTCGGTATAGTCAGCAATCAAATCCTATCTAAAAATTCCTAATTGGGCGTCCAGCCGAACTACAAATTTTATACTCTAAAGTAAGTTTTCTAAAGTAAAGTATCTTGATTTATAAAAAGTAGGGAAATCTGATAATGATAATAATATCATTTATAGTTAAATGTTCAATGAACGAGAACACAAATTAACTAATTGAATGCACAAGAGCACAACATAAATAATTCGTCAATTTCATTCAGTCCACTGTAATCACAAATCGTTTATTGATCCTTGAAAGTTCTTTTATTTGTTGAGAGTTAACAATTTGAGCACTTTTCTGCTGAAATCTGTAAACATTGTGTAAGAAAAGTCTTTATATATATGCTCAGTTTCTATGTACAAATGTACAGGGTGTCCAAATTTGGATGGTTTTGATAGGAAACGTCAATTTCTGAGCGAGATACAAAAAAATTAACCCCCCACTCCGAGGCTCAAATTTCATAAAATCTTGATTGGTGCAAACCGCATTTTGATATCTTCAACCGTTTAGCCGCTAGAGGGCATTTCTCGATTTTGAGCAATACTGTGAAACCTTCATAACTTTTTTGTTTATGAAAATAATTGATTTCCGTAGAAACTTTCTAGAAGCACTTTTTCATGCAGAATTCAGTGACGTTCTCAATTTTTTTCTATTGGGCCCCGATTTCGAGATATTGACCAAAGTCCAATTTTTTTCAATAGGATACCCTCTATATTAATATCTCATTTGAAAGCTCTGCTTTTGCTGATATCCATGATACCAATTTCGACTGGTTTATCTCTAACAGTTTTCGAGAAAAAAAATATTTTGGTTTTTGTCATAAGAAACAATGTGTTAGAAAGAGACCTTTTTCATTTTCCTTACAGCTATAAAATCCTTTTCTAACACATGGGTTCTTATGAAAAAAATCGATATTATTTTTTATCTCGAAAACTGTTAGATATAAACCTATCGAAATTTGTATCTTTGAAATCAGGAAAAGCAGAGCTTTCCAATGAGCTACTAAAATATAGGGAGTCCTATTGAAAAAAATCGGACTTTGGTCAATATCTTGAAATCGGGTCCAAATAGAGAAAAACCGAGAACGTCGCGGAGTTCTGCTTAAAAAAGTGCTTTCAATAAGTTTTTACCGAAATCAATTATTTTCACAAACAAAAAAGTTATAAAGGTTTCACAGTACTGCTCAAAGTCGAGAAATGCCCTCCAGCGGCTAAACGGTTGAAGATATCAAAATGCGGTTTGTACAAACTAAGATTTCATGAAATTTGAGCCTCGGAGTGGGGGGTTCATTTTTTTGTATCTCGCTCAGAAATTGACGTTTCCTATTAAAACCATCCAAATTTGGACACCCTGTACAAATGTTAATTTCACGAGTGTGAGAACCAAATTTCTGCATTAAACATTAGAAAACACTTCAATTTATAGTGCATTTCAAGCGAATCACTAATCAGTATTTATTGTTCGATTGATAGAGAAATTGTAACGGTCTTACTTGCTTAATCCGGTTCATGCAGATAAATACACAAGGCGATTATTAATCCATTTCATATCCATTTATCACCACTATTCACAATGAAAGCTAGGGAATTTTTCACCGAGATGAAAAGTACACAATGATATACAGGATTGGATTCCGTCGATAGTGAGAGAGATAACCAAAAACAGGCGTTGGAGAGAATTTTGCTCGTCCGAGGTGACTTGCAACAATTAGGAGTTAATTACATGAATTGTAATCAATAATATAGACTATGTCAGGCATTGAGACACTGAGAGTAGTATTTTACTATAAATCGCGTGCACTAACAGGGGTTTTTTGGGGGTTTTTGTCTCTGGGGGTCGATTTTTGGCTATACGTTTCCATAAAACGTATACGTATGTGTAAAGAAACGTTTATATGTAATTTTTGGCTATACGTTTATGTTGCGTATACTTGCAATTGTGTTCGTTTTACTGCGAGCGGGAAAAAGGTGAACGCAAGTGCTCGCAACGTCGTTTTGTTGGTTATGTGTTAAGATGTAAACTGTTTTGATTACAATGGATGCAGGTATGATTGTTTTTGTGATTGAAAATTTGGAGAATGCCGAGGCCAATTACCGTCCGAATAGACACCGTAATCCTCGCAATCTTATAGAAGAGTTAAATGAAGTGCAATTTGTGAAAATGTTTCGGCTATCTAAAGACCTCTTCCGCTACTTAGTGAATCGCTTGGAGCCCCTTATGCGCCCACAAAGTCGAAATACGGATTAAGATATTCAGTCAAAGGTAAGTGTTTAATTCTGCTAACAAAACGTAGGTAGGTAGTATATAATCTTTACAGATTTTGGCAGCCCTAAGTTTTTTCGCAAATGGTTCATACCAAACAAATGTAGGAAATAACGCATATATCGATGTCTCACAAGCCAGTGTATGTATTAGTTTGAGGGAAGTGGTTGCAGCCCTTAATAAGCCCGCCATTTATAATGAATGGGTCCAGTTCCCGGAAAATTTTAATGACTTAAATAGAATTAGACAAGGATTTGTTGATATGTGAACCGCAAATCATATCACTCCATTAATGTGCAACTGGTAATTATAAATAATAAGAAATGTACCTTATTGATACCGTGTCTCTTATAGATTTGTGATGCCCAGTTACGTATTTTGAATGTGAATGCCAGGTTTCCTGGCAGCACCAATGATACATATATTTGTAACCAGTCTGCAGTGCAGGCATTGTTAAGAAATATTCATGGCAGAGGAACTCGTGTATAATTGTTTTTAATATAGGTAATTTGATTTATATTAGGTGATTCAGGATACCTTCTTCGTACATGGCTATTGACACCATTTACTGATGCAGTTGATGGTACACCCGAGGCATATTATAACAATATACACAAAAGTGCACGAGCTGTAGTGGAAAGATGTAATGGTGTGTTGAAAGCACGGTTTCGGTGCTTGCTGAAGCACCGTGTTCTGCATTACTATCCTGAAACCGCGTGCAAAATTATAATTGCCTGCGTTGTCCTGCATAATATGTGCATTTACTACAATGTACCATTCCCAGATGACGAACTTGACAACGATTTAGGTCTAATAAATGGAGACATTCCTGAACCTGATGCCATAGGACGCGGCAACCGGATTAATCCAGAACTGCTAAAGGGTCGGCAGGCTCGTAATCGACTTGTACATACCCTAAATGCACGTAGAGGCCACTGACTTGGAAGTCATGAGAGTTTTATGTTGCGGCGACAAATAAATAATTTTCAAATGAACACCTTTATTATTATTACCATGATTTTCATAAAAAAACTCTAAACAAAACGAAATATAATTTCTAATATAACGTAACTATAAATTCTTACATCATATAGTCTTATATGTAACCATATCACATAACAAAACTAGTATTTGGCATAAAATCGATTATTTATTGTCTCACTTAAGAGCTGACTATTCCTTCAACTCACTGCTGCTACTCAAATGGTGTGCGATGGTATTCAATGCTTCAACATGAAGCCTCCTAATATCATTTTGTTCCCTCAGAAGTGATACTTTTTCACTATAATAGTCGGATTTCTGTTGTAATTTTCTGTCAAGACTCTCTTTATATGCTGCTGCGGCAATCGTAGAATTAATTAAACCATCCTTTTTCTTTGGACACTTGTGGTTGTGTATGGGACCTTTCCTTGTTTGTGGTGTAAGTATCTTCTCGCTAAAATAGGAATAAAAACACCATTAGTTATAGTTAAGATTAAAATATTCATCATCATTCATTCATCAACTACTTGCTACTTGTGGGGACTACATTTACACTCGTGTTTGCTGCTTTTGTAAAATCATAAAAATCAAACACCACTTGTGGCTGTTCTGCTGGATGTTCATTGGCTGCTTGCTGGTCTGCTGGATGCTCTGCTCTTAAGTTCACAATTATTGGAGCATTTTCATGGCATATTTCTGCTGTTGCAACAAGTTTTCCCTCATCAGTTTCTGTCTCTCCAAAATTAAATGCAACTTGCGACTCTGGAACATCATGACCCTCAACAGACACGACTTGTATCACTTCAACAACACCTTCCCCTATATTATCCAACATCTCTTCCTTTGCCGGCCCTCCACCTGTTCCTGTTTGATAATTGCGCTGTTTGGCAATTTTACTCTTAGTGCGTGCTCGTAAATCATGCCATGTCTATAAAATATAAAGTGCACAAGTATCTAAAGTTTAGCTAAAGATAAGTGTTTACCTTACACCATTATTTCCAGTTTTTTGAAGCACCGGGCATGCTATTGAGGGTTTTGGCTACTTTTTCCCATGACTGTTGCATTTTTTTCAACGTTAAATTTGCTATTTGTTTCCCCGCTATTATATCGGGGTGTTCTTTAGCAAACTCGACAAGCCATCTTTTTTGATTTTCCGTGATATTGCACCCTCGCTTGACGCTGTGTGCCATATTTTGGCTATTTATGCTGTACTACCTAAAATATCTATGTTCTTAATAGACCTGTCTCGTATAAATAGAGAAAGAGAGCTTAATTGTAATAAATACAAGTTAGAAAGTAATAAAAGATGACATGCGCGCGCAACTCGTAGGTGCAGTGTAGCCAGATTCTATTGTTGAAGAACAAATGTAGACAATACAAATCGAACATTATAACATTAAAGAAGTAATATAGTGTTAAGTGTTTTACAACGCCTTGAATAAGACAAAAGAAGAGCTTTAAAGTGGATGAACATCGTTTGCACTTTCATTTTGATAAATGTTTTATCCGACAACATCGCTCAATGAAATTTCAAAGGAATATGTCAAGTATAATCTAACATAACCTTAAACGAAACTGCGGTGAGTTCAAGTAATATGTAAAGTATTAATTTGCTCTTTGTCGAATTACACGTTACAAAGAAAGAAGGAACGATTCATTCTGAACTGGCCCCTGAATAAGAATATGACGTAAGCCTGTAAGAAACCTGCTTCTCATTGGACGCTCACCTGCAGCCTACAAGCGACGCGCGCAGTCCAGGTAATAGGAGATCGGTCTATTGGAAATACTGTAAACAAACTGAAAACATAACCTCAAAATACAAACGTCAAATAGTCCGCGTACCGCTTTAGTTCTAATGAACCAACAAAATGCCACGTTGCCACATGCACTGCACGTTTCAGTTCCAAGCCATTACGAAGAGCAGCCAAAAATTGCCTTTGCAAAACGTATACGTTTTTAAAGCTTCGCATCTACGCGTACACGAATAGATGCGAACAGTTTCAAAAATTGACCCCCTGGAGAGCATTCAGAGGGCGCGAGGGTGCGAAATCTTCGCTTATTCTAAAAGTACTGACTAATGCGCGTCGACTAGCTCTGCCAGAGGCCCGATTCTCGTCGCAGGGAGAGGAGAGCTCCCCAAGAGAACGAATTTTTTGTTCTTGTCAACGTAATCGAAAAGTGAATGAGCATGATAAAGATGAAAAATTTGTTCTCTCTGGAAGCTCTCCTCTCCCTGAGACGAGAATCGGGCCCCAGGGAGCAGGTCGCAAAAAAACTAGGGATGTTGTGTGGCGGCTGACCAATCACAGCCGCGAGGAAGGTCCACTGCCTTATAGTGTAATGAAGAAACCTGTAATTTTACCGGTTCAAAGGGTTGTTGTTGCCGGCTTTACAAGCATCTATTTTTAGAATATTATTTTTATGATAAATAATAGAGAGGAAAATTAGATTAAATTAGAAATAACAAAATTTAAACTTGTGGGTATTTCGGCAACAAGGGAAATTACTTTTTTTAAATTTCATAACTTTCTTGAAAAACAATAGAAAATAAATATGATAACTAACACGAGTAGGTACCTACAATTTCAATCGAGAAAGAGAAAATCAGCTGATGTTATTTGGGAACAATATATGTTGATCTTGGGTGCATCTTGAACGGAAATCTGAAGACAAAAACAAACTTATAAACTATAAACGACAGATTAGATTTGTATCGAAGTCTTTTCATGTGCATCAAAGTTGAATAAATCACCCATGATAGGTACCCTTTTTGTTGAGCATCTGCATTTGGCTTGACTCAATCCTGAAAAGAAGCAGATGATTTTTAATATAAATTTATAAATCGGAAGTTTTTTGTGTGATTGATTTGAATTAATTTGAGTAAGCTACAATAATTACATAGTTTTGCGAGATGTTAGAATCTAATAAATTGTCTGTACAATTAAACTTGTTTATTACACAATAAACTTTCCCCAGATCCATTTTCAGGTTCAAAAGAAAACCTATACTTGATCCATATTGAAACTACCTATGGCATCCAACCATAACATTTTTCTTCTATAAATAAACATTGTCGATGTAATATTACATAAGCTTAAGTTTATCCAGCCGTGCATCTTGATTTGTTAATATGTAATTATCACGTATATTCACTTTATTGGCTAGCATCAAAAACAAAAGTCGCTCTCCTTGAAGATGGCACCGTATCAAAGAGATTGAGAAGGTATAATATGTGCTGCGATTTCATTACTGACACACTGAACCAGTGGTAGACGTGGAACCAGTTCGGATGGTTAATTAATCTCCCAACATCTTCAGAAGAACGAGTTTTACTTTCATCGAGAATATTTTAATTTACGCACTTATCGATGTTCTATTATTTTCCTTGCGTAACTTGGTAGCACAGGAACCTAGATTTTAGATTTTATATGATATAATCGGATTTTACGTGATAAAGAAACTTCTCTAACATAAATTTATGTTAGATTTGAGATTTTTTTACATTGTTCTGTTATGTTCTTTTAACAAAACCCTAATAATACTGGTTTAATGAAAATATATAGAAGGGGAAAGAGATGTTAAATAGACAGGGGTAACTAGGGGTGGATGAGTTACCTATGTGAGGGGGTGGCAGTTCAAAAAAAAAACCAGAAAGGGTACCCAATATAAAAGGCCTAAAACAGAGAGTTCATACTATAAAAACGCGATTTCAACAAGAATTGAGGTAAGTACCGCAATCAATTACGGTTTTGGGGACATAAAACTCTAACAGGAATCAGAATGCAAAATAAAATGATGAATAATAGGGACTTACCAATGTGGATTGTCCTTTTCGAGACTCAACACGTGACACGAATTAAACTTATTTTCCAGAATTTGGGTTTTTACGTACTAAAATCTTGTTAAATTAGCAAATACTTGCTGTGGTGCTATATAAGAATAATAGCCACCGTTTAAGACTCAATTACTTCCCAAATATTCACTCAAATTGGCCAAAATGCCTCAGAAGAACGCTATAACGTGGCTTCACTTTTTCGTTTATTTTTGGACAGTTTGAATTAATGCATATTGCGCATTCAATACTCAGTATTCAAATTCTGGTGCCACAGTTGACTTAAGTTCATTGTCTGATTTAAACAATTTCCTAACCCTACTAATATTTGTTTACATTTTCCTATTCTAATCCTACCTATTTCTTATTATTTTAGGCTGGAAACCTTATGTTTCCAAAGTTGCACAATGGAAACCTCTGCAAAAATAGGGAAAACAAATGCTGATTTACCTGATTCCTACAGAACAGTACACAGAACGGAGAACAAAATAGTGAAAACTCAAAAAAAATTGTAATTATTTTGCTTTATACGATATTATCTTATCTCAAATCAATCTTATTTTCAGAGATCGCCAGAAGAGAAGTATCAACAGCATCGATAACTGGAACAGAACCAGATAAAGTGTCAGGAACGACATTATCCTTACCCTTGCGGTGGATGATTCAAAATCGTATTGCTGCTAGCAAACGGACCATCGAGCAATACTACCTACCGGATCCTCGATGGAATTGAGCCACTTAAGGCTATAGTGGTTCGTGATCACAGTGAACCTAGTACCCTCAATGTAAGTACGCAACTTCCCGATTGCAGGTAGAACGGCAAGGCACAAGTAGTGACGTTCATCGTCTTTGGTACGAGAAAGAACGTAGTCCAATAAAATCTGAGATCGAAGGGTGGCCTCATTGGTTGTTACTGGAAGGCAAGACGCTCGGCCTAAGTTTTTACCTTCTGTTCGTTTTTTTGAACAATGCGGGCAGGACCTGGACGTAACATCACTTTTACCGTAACGGTGGCAGAAACGGTTACGAGGCTGTTCTTATTGCTTGAATCGATGACCTGGCCTGCCACAATTCCAACAGGAAGCCTGTTTTGTTGAATCTGATACGGCGTCAACCTTAGCAAAATCATCAGATGGAAGAATCTCTGGGACAGAAACAAGGTGCGTAGTCTCTACGGCATTGACTCTATAGCTGGGCTTATGGTATGCTAATTCTGGTTCGATTAAGTGTCTATAGTTGGTTGGAGGAGAAACAAATCTTTGAATGCGAGACTCTGTCTCTTCTATAGCTCGAGCAAGGCGAGTTATAATTCCTCGACAGATACAAAACTTTGAGTGGACAAACGAGACTGAAGGTAGGGTAATAGATTACGATGCACTAACTGGAGTTTAGTTGACTCAGAAGGAATTTGAGGAAATTTGTGGAACAAATTTTCCATGGTGACAACAAAACTCATGACTTTCTCCTGAGTTCCCTGAGTCCTTCGTCGAATCTCATTCCAGAGCGAAAACTCGTAGTCATATGGCATAAGGGAATCACGGAGTTGAGCTATCAAGTCATCCCAACTACTAAAAACACCAGTTCGATACCAAAGAAGGGCATCTTTTGTAAGAAGTTCCGGAGCAGAGCGAAGTAATTGTTCTTTGGAAACTTCTCTAGAAAAACGCATTTTTTCAACTCTTTATAAAAAGTTCGACAAACCTCCTTGACCGTTACATTTTAAAGACCATCGACTAATATCCTTGAAACTAGGAGTATGTGGTTCGAATGAGTAAGAAAAGGAAGGGCCACGGAGCGGGGACCATTGCAATTCCTCCATTCTTCTAGCAAAACCTGGAACAGGATCAGTTGGTGCAAGTGTCTCATGCTTAATGGAATTTGCACTAGAAGCAAAATTTTCGGGCTCAGCAAATCGTACACGAAAGTCTTTTCATCACTTAAAAAGTTTGAATGGGATTCGGGGATTATAGTTTTTTCAAAACATACTAGGTTTTTACAAATCCAACAAATAAAATTAAACATATTTTTGGCAGGTAAGACCACCAGCCAACCTAGCCATGACGAACAATAAAACACAAATCATTTATTTCTTAACATTTCTTTCAGAAGAAAAAAGTATATAGGTAGAAGCCAAATTTGATAAGTGCATAGTAGTGCACATACGCATTGTAAGATTTAACAAATAAAAAGGCACATAAATAATTAATTTGAAAGATTTATTAAATGAAAGTTTTTAAAAATATTGAGAAAATTACTTCTTTTGTTTGTTATGCAAATTACTGCAGACAAAAGACCTTTGAAAGTAAATGGACACAAGACACAATGGAATCGAACAAATACATCTTCAATAATTATTAT